TTATTGTTATATCTTGCATCATTTACATCTATTTTTGCATTTGATGTTGATTTGAGGAGTTGTTACTTATTATTGCCATCATATCAACTGAGAATTTATTGCAATGATTTTAAATTCAGTTGAGGTATCTGACATATTATGACATAACATTGATGTTTTATATGAAGTCTTTAGAGCCATAGGCTATAATATTGTTTTTAGATAAATTGCTCAGAGACCAACCAGTTGGACAGAGGTTATATGTACAAATCATCCAAGCACCCAATTCCTAGCCATTTCTATAGGCTACATTTCATTAACATTGCTAAATATTATTAAACTGGAAAGAAATTAAAGATCCATCTTTGATTGTCAAAAGAATTCCAGGTTCAGTTCATTCAGCCAATTAGATTTCACGTAGTATTTTCATCGGTCAGTTGTGGAGGTCTGATTGGTTTAAGCTTTATTTATATAGCACCTTTTAAAACAGTGTATACAAAGTAGCCTACTTTACAAAGAGATGCATATGTGCATTCGCAGAAAATATCAAAATACAAACATAAAAGAGATATAGTAAAACAAAGTAGCTACAATAACCAGTTTATGTTAAAACAAAAATACAACAATAAAAAATCAAGGAAAGACCCTGCACAAATCTGTTTTGAGACTAGGCTACTTTTTAAAAGTGCATAATGATAACTTTTGACAACGTTTAATTCAGGTGCAAAAAGAATTAATATCTGCATGAGCATAGAGAGATTTGCGAGTGCACAGGACACAGTTTGAGCACGCGCACTTTGAGTAGAGGAGAGACACGTTTTAAGTGCGCGCACTCTCTCCGGGCGAGAGCAGCGTGTATCTGAGCGCGCACATCCGGTTTTGTACGAGAGCAAAGGAAATCCACGCGCGCATTATATTAATGTGCTTTCGCGCTACAATTATGCGCTCTCGACATTTGTCATTAAAATAATGCCATACTGTGACAGATTCAACAAGTAATTTGTGAGACTGATTGAAACTGACAACCCATGAGTTGTTTGTTCAAGAATCAGACTACACTGATCGCATTGTTTGTTTTTGCATGCAGCCAGCAAATAGATAGACATGTTGTTTCTTGGTATTATTTTGTCACACTCAGTCTTTCTCTCTCATCACGTTCAGTTCAGACTGTGTAAATCAAATAAAAAATAAATTCAACATATTTTCCAGTGTTGAATAGTGGTGCCGTAAACACTGT